CGAGGGTGAGAAATCTCAGCTCCTCCGAAGGCGAAGGCGCTAGAGGGAAGGATTACAGTTTCACAAGGAGAAGGTGATTAGCCACACACACCCCACCCCCCCAGGAAGAATGTCCTCGGTGAGCATTCAAGGAGGAGGTGGGGAGGGGCGGGGCGGGGAGGTGGGGAGGAGCGGGCAGGCTGTGGGAGGAGCAGGGCTCCCCAGCGGCCAGCAGTGCTCCAGCAAACATGTCTGTGGTCAGCACCCACGGGACCAGACAGACCACTGGCCGAAGATGCAGAACACACTCGCAGAGAAGTCTCTGAGAGGGAAAGAAAAAGCCCCAGGCCATGCTAGGGTTCAAAAGACAATCACAGCCTTCAACACAGGCGAGGAAGTGGGACTAGAGTCCTGAGACCGGTCCAGTGCGTGGAGGAGAGGCCACGGGGGCTAAAAGGTGCCCAAGTGGAAACCAGGAGAGGGATGGGGAGTACTCGCACAGAGCACCACTCTCCGTCCACCTGACAACCCCCAACGTCCACGTGCACACCCTGGCGTGGTCGCAGGCCCTTAAACCCCCCCTTTAAGCCCAAGTGCCTCTCCCCATGGATAGATGAGCTGAAGTCACCTGAGACCACGTTCGCTGCCCAATGAAATGCTAGGGGCTTCCCTCCAAGCCCTCTGCCCCGGCCTCCCCTCCCCAATTTCCAGGCAGAGGGAGCCAGCAGCAGGCAGGACAGTGGCCCTGTAAGATCCCCACCCCCACTACTTCAGCAGCAGGCCTGTAGGGCTTAGGGGCCACACTGGGTACCAGCCCGCAGCCTTCGAGTTCATGCCACACAGGCTAAGACAAAAGTTCTAGAATGCTCCTCCAACATCCACCCTTTAGAGAAGCACCGCCCACTGAAGGGCAGACAGAGAAGGCGGGAGGAACCTGAAGAAGACAAGGCCGGGGAAGAGAAGACAGAAAAATCGCCATAATGTTATGGCAAGAACTACAGCGGTCTGGGATCTCACACCCTTTTGAAGTTCAAGGGCGCCCACCCCACTGTACTTTGTTTGGAAAGCAATGCAGTGGGTGGGAGGGGACTCTGGCAGCTGCCTTCCCCGCCCTGAGCACCCATCCTATCAGCCAACCCCAGACTGGGACGCGGAGGGATGCCGGGCCGCCCTGGCACCTGCCTGGCTCAGGGCTGCTCAGAGCTGAGCTCGCCGGCTACAGCCCTCTCCTCCCCACCCAGACCAACCCAAGGCTTCCAAACGGCTCGGCACCCACAGCCCCTGGAAAGAACACTGCCCCCCATCCCTCTGCACCCTGCTGGGAAGGAAGGCTTTTCCTCTTAGCCCTCAGGGCAGCCGTTTCCCTGACAAGCCAAGCAAGAGAAGGGCTGAAGGGGTCGGCGGAAGTTCCCTCGCTTCGAATCTTTCCTGTTTCCTCTCACCCCTGCCTTCCCCACCAGTGGTCCACCAGTGGCGTGCCTAATCCGGTTGGAATTTCCTCCTCCACCCACCTGGCATTCTCCCCACAGGCATGAGCACTCCCGGCCAGGGGTTCCCACAGCCACCCCAAGTGCCGGGCCAGACGCCCTGGCCACTCGCCCCATGGGCACTCGCCCCTTTGGAGTGCCAGGAAGAAGGTTCTGGAAAACCAGCTGCAAACCCCCCGAGAAGAGGAGCAAGTGCTTGCTGATAACCGAAGCCCCAGGGAGTGGAGTGGCCACTCGCTCTTGCTCGTGCCACCGTGGGGACTCAGAGCTGAGAGGAGAACACAGGAGCCTGGCACTCACATCCCACCGCCCTGAAACCAGGAGACCACACGGAAGGGACAGAAAAGTTGCCGAAGGTCGAAGGTCGTCCGACACCCATTTAGTCCCCCCAGGCTGATGCCAGGGGGAGCTCAGGGATTAGTGATCATTGGGTTCAGGGTCTCTCAGTTTTGGCCCAAACCCCCAGCCTAAAGAGCACTTCACACACACACACACACACACACACACACACACACACACCCACACACACAAACACACCAGCGTTTCATGGAGCAACACTTCCTCACTGCACGCTTTACCCTGTACCCTCACCCATCTGTCATTTTAAAATGTTGATGCTGCTAATGGGTCACTGCCCAAAGTTTAAAAAAACACAGGGGTGGGCCGGGACCGGTTTGGCTCAATGGATAGAGCGTCGGCTTGGGGACTGAAGGGTCCCGGGTTCGATTCCGGTCAAGGGCATGTACCTTGGTTGCGGGCATATCCCCAGTAGGGGGTGTGCAAGAGGCAGCTGATCAATGACTCTCTCTCATTGATGTTTCTAACTCTCTATCCCTCTCCCTTCCTCTCTGTACAAAAATCAATAAAATATATTTAAAAAAAAAAAAAAAACACAGGGGTGGGATGGGAAACAGTACTGAATATTATAATTTTAAGCATCGGTGAGGCTAGCTTTCGGCACCTAAAACCAGAAAACCAAGCAGGGTGCTTGAGCTCTCTAGTCTACACTATCCAGGTCAGAAACATGGGGGGGGGGGGGGGGGAGGGGAACAACCAGGCCCACCCACCACTCATTCAACTTCACATCATCAAAGTGAAAAAAAAGAAAAAAAGAAAAGAAAAAAAAGAAAATGCCTTAGAAATTAAGAACATTTTTCTTCCAAGATGCAATTTACGTGGATGTGGCTTCAGTTGACATAGTTATCTGAAATTTCAAGGAACATCAAAGAGGGCAGTGGGTGTTCTGTGCTTACAGAGAGGGGGGGGGATAAGGTTCAAAAGGGGGAGAAATATTGAACGGGTCCACGGCCCCCACTTTCCTTACGAGTGACAGAACTAAGAGACAGAACAGCGCCTGAGGCATGAAGCAAGTTCGGGGCAGGGCTCCTGACTCCATTACTCACAGCCTCCATGATCCAAAACATTTAAAAGCACGGTCAAGGTCTCTCCGAGGGAAGCTCTGCCACGACTGAAGCGTGGAGGGGCCTTAATCACCCACGGACAACAGGGCTGATCTCGGCCGACCTTGGCGCTCTGCGCAGCCTCGCTGGGGTCCTGCAAAGGGGCTCGCACACTTAACTCTCTCTGCGCCTCTTCTCAGGACAGAATAAGCCAAAAATGTACCCAGAATAAAAATAAAAATAAATAAAGATGCTTTAAAACCAAACTTGCGTGCTTAGAAACAGAAGCACCCCTAAGATTCATTCATTCAGGGTCAGAGTTAGAGTCCCAGGACCCAGAAGGCCTTCCTCATTAGCGGACCCAGGCCTTCATTTTATAGTCAGGCCCCATAAGGTGACGGACAGCCAAGCCAGATCCTGCTTCACACACTGTATTAACCCCTCCACTGGCGAGAACCGCCACAGAAAGTTACACAAAATACCCGCTGCTAAGGGGTAGAGAGGAAACTAAACACAAATGCCTCTTTCCAGAGTCCAAGGAAGCTCAAAAGGCAGGACTGATTTTCACTGATCCTACAAGTAAGCTAACGTGATGCTCTGAACCAAACTCCGAGCACAGAGGCCAGGGCCTGCGAAGGGGCATGGCTCCTCGCTGCCACATTCATCTCCCGGACCCCGCGGGGCTGGTGCCTGCTCAGATGGCATCTCCCTGCTCCTAACTTTCCCTCCACTCTGTCCAAGGCACTTGAGACTACAGCTGCAAATATGGGGAATTTTATTACATGGGAGGGATCCTTTCCGCTGCAAATGCCACCTGGTATCTGTCCAGAGTGTTTCCTGGAGGAGTTCTGAAAACCTGAGATAAGACCCACCCCACCTCCAACCCCCTCTGTAACCCTGGCAGGCAAGGACCATCGCTCTAATTCCCCACAGGGACGCTCAAGGGACTGAACGGGTGATGGCTCAGACCCAGTGGCACAGACTCTCACCTTACCACGAATACCCATGCCATGTCTCACTGGACTTGTGCCTCTGCAGCCAGTGACTGCCAGCTCTGAGAGCTGCCCAGGGCAGGGAAACCCTCTGAGTTAGACACTCTGGCCCTCACACACGGCTCACGTGGGGCCAGCAGCAGCAATAAGATACAGCCACCGGGAAGGGGGGTGAGGGGGACCTCTGTGGGCCTGCCATTCAAGGTAACTGTCAATGAAAGAGGCCCCCCCCCCCCATCTCCCAAAACACAGTGGGGCTGGAATCAGAGGATCAAAGCGGGCAAGTGAATCGGTTCACCCCTTGCTCTGTGCCTCAGTTTCCTCATCTGCTCATCGCCAGGGCTACTTACGAACTGAATGAGCTATGCCTGCACCAATGCCATGTGTCAGGAGGAGCATGACTTCCCTGCGCCAGTCTATGCCCTGGACATGCAGTGTCCTGAACACACTGACAGCAGCTCTGGGTCTGCCTGGCTCCGGCCGCCTCCTTACAGAAACGCCTTAAAAACTACCTGGGTGCCTATTGCACAACCCACCGCCAAGGATCTGCGCAGCCTCCTTCCTCCCCACCTGCCGGCCGCCCCGAGACAAAAAGAGAAGGCAAACGTCACTGCGGGTCTCCCTGCCTCCCCGCTGCTCCGCTGCCCAAACTCCAGGGGAAGGGAAGCAGAAACACTAAGGAAAGGGGATCAACAGGGAACCCCCCCCCCCCAAGAGAGCCGCCAAGAAGACCCAAGAGAACTTCTCCCTTGTCACCCCCAAGATCCCCAAAGCACCTGGGGAGCAGACACCGCACGCCGGGGACGCGGGTGTCCACGCGCCGGGACGGGGAGGCACACGGCCCGGCGGGAGACACGTTTCCAGGCGCGCGCGTGGCCAGCGCTCCGGGCGGCCGGTTCCCGCGGAGGCGGCGCACGTGTGGGCAGCCCGGGCCCCCGGCGCGGGCGGCGCGCTCCTCCCCGGACCCCCGCCGGGCGCGCCGGCCGGAGCGGCGATGCGCCCGGGGCTCTCACGCCCCCGGACGGCGCGGGCAGCGCGGGGACCGTGCAGAGCGGCCCCGATCGCCTCCCCGGGGGGACCCCGCACGCGCGCGCGCTCTCCCTCCTCTGCCCGCGCGTCCCTCCCGCCCCCACGCGCCTCACCTTCACGGAGTCCACCGGGTACATGACCATGTGCTCCATGATCCCGGCCATCGCTCCGGCTGTCATGTGGGTGGACAAGGAGGCGCTGGTCGGCAGGTTCTCGTAGTCCTCCGCCCCGGCGTCCTTGCTGCCGCCGCCGCCGCCGCCGCCGCCATCGCGGCCGTCCCCATCCATCCTGCGCCCCCCCACAGCCTGGCTGCCCATGCCGCCGCGCCGCAGCTCCATCCGCCGGCTGCGCGGCCGCGGGAGGCTGCAGGCGGTGGGCAGGGAGAGGGAGGGGGAGGGGGTGAAAAACTTCACTTCTTAAAGTGGGAACCACCTCCCCGGGGCCACGGCGCCTGACGCCATGGCGGGCTGGGGCGGAGCGGAGCGGCCCCGGGCACCAATCACGGGAAAAGAAGGGGCCGGCGGCCGCCGCGCCATTGGTGTGCGGGCCGGTGAGGGCCCGCCTCCCTGTGTGACGTCACTACCCAGTGCAGATTTCCAAGCAACCGGAGGGGGGCGAGGAGAGGCGTTGGGGCGTCCCGGGAAGTTGTACCACCTCAAAGGGGGGTGCTGCCTCTCTTGGGGCAGGCAAGCAAAGGGGGGAGTGGGGGATGGTCTCTGGAGAGGGGTCAGAGGCGCTATGCATACATAGGATTGCAGGGGGAGCAGGGACAGAGGCTCAGGGGATATTGGCCCCCAGAGCCCAGGGTTTTGCAAACGGTACTACTGCTCAGCAAGCTTTGGCATTCCTCAGGCCTTGAGGTGACTGCAAGTGTCACTTATGGAGCGATTTTGGCGGCTGGATGGGGAAGGGAGTGGAGTTGAAGAATTGAGGACATGCTGTGCCATAGCAGTGATGCACCTACTTTTGTGCAACACGAGAGCATGTACCACATGGGACAGAGTTGAACCTCAAGGCCCTGTGATAGGCAGCTTGGTAGGGAGAATACCCATTTATTTGAAACTAGAGACTCAGAGCATGAAATTCAGCATGGGAGGGCTCCCTCAGCCCAGCCTGCACCCTTTCCAATTTGGGACCCCTTGGGGGATGCCCAACTGCCAATTTTGGCCTGATCCCTGTGGAATTGGGCCTAAACTGGCAGTCAGACATCCCTCTCACAATCTGGGGCCACTGGCTCCTAACTGCTCACCGCTTGCCTGCCTGATCGCCCCTAACCACTCTGCCTGCCTGCCTGCCCCTAAATCCCTCTGCCTCCCTGCCTGATCGCCCCAACTACTCCCCACTGCTGGCCTTATTGCCCCTAACTGCCTCTGCTTTGGCCCCCACCGCCATGGCTTTGTCCGGAAGGAAGTTGGACGTGCAGAAGATGGCTGGTCGACCCAGTCTAATTAGCATATTACCATTTTGTTAGTATAGATTTTTTCTCTTACTACAAACATCATAATAGAGCTAAATTTATTTCTCCCCTTATTCTCACACAGAGGCTAAATCCACCCTGCCCTGGACTAACCAAGACAAAAAGTAGTAACCAGGATGGATCCCTCTGGGCAGGCACCTCCAGCCATTTTCCTTGGAGGTGATATGCCTAGAAGGTCCTTAGAGGCTTGATCCCACAGTAAGGCTGCAAAGTGCCTGAGAGCAACATCTTGCAGCCGTGCATCGATCTGCCTGTCTCCTAAGACTCTGGTCTCCCAGTTCTTAAGTTCACTCTTTATTTTAACCTAAATAGTGCTGTCTTGCTCCATCTGTGGGAAGGGAAAGGAATCAGAAAGTAGAGGAGTGGCCTGTTCAGGGGAGTCTCCATGAAAGCATGACATTTGCAAGTCTAAATGGATGTGTTCCGGGCTAAAGATTTGACTCTAGCTGATCAACTTCTGCCTCACCAGACACCTTATCCAGAGGCCGCTTCTGGTCAGGAATGCTGGGCTCTGAGATAGGAAAGGGAGGAGACCCTGAAGATGCTGTGCCCACACTTTGCCCTCACCTTGGCCCCAAGGTTCAAGTTATAGCAACCCTGGCAGCTCCCAGGGAACTGAGATACAGTGATGTGAACATTGTCAGTAGAGGGTTCAAGGCCAAGGGCCCTATTTTTGGTAGCTGCCAATAGTGGCTCCCAAAGTGAGTGCTAAGGATGTGATGGAAGCAAGCTCTGTGATCAGGGTTTAGAGAGAAGAATTTCCCTGCTTTTGCCAAAGGTAATTTTTAAGAAACATTGATCAAAAGCTGTGGATATTCATTTACAAATGGATACCCCTTAACCAGACACCAAAGTTTGAAAAGCTCTTCTTCAAAGCATTATTTGTAGCCATAAATAATTGGGAAATGACCTAAATGTTCAACTAGAGAGGAATGGCTAAGTAAATTATGGCACAGGTAGTAATGAAATATTATGGGCTCATTAAAAATTGTGGTTACATTATGCAGCATGGGAAATGGTGATGATGCAGGTTAGGTGAAAAAAGTAAAACAAGATTTTATAAATGTTACATCCACAAAAATGTAACTATGCATATCAAAAGAGTGAGGTGGTTATAGTGATAGTGATGTAGGATTATTATATTTATTATATTTTATTATATTTCTCATACTTAAATAATACTTGTATTATTTTCATAATTTAAAAAAATGAAAGTGAATCATTATTCTTAGAATCTAATCTTCCAATGCATGAGAAACCTTCTGAACTTTGCCACGGTGATATTGATGGAGAGAAGTCATCCTTGTGATGGTTAAGAGGACTATCCGCATATATGAACATGCCTATTAATCTCCAGAGATATCGATTTTAAATTGTTTTATTAAATAAATGTGCAATACTTATTAAAAGCAGTATTTTTATCTCACCCTATAAAGTAAGTCTAGAGACCTGGCACTCAGCATCCATTCAAACTCCTCCTTGTACTGCAGTTGCTAGAAAATTTGAAACTATCATTCTCTGACTTCTTTGCAGCTAGGAGTCTAGAGTGAATTACATATATTCTGCCAATTACATGAACTACAGAGCTCTTGGGGATGGAAGGGAGATGGAGGCCAGCTTCCTGCTGCTTTGATATTCTGTTGCCTAGCATGGTCATAGACATTTGGATAAGGAGCAGTTGGGGTAGGCAATACCTTCTCTATTGCAGCAGCTTTGCAGTGTCTGGCCTCCCGGTGCATAGATGTTGCCTAGGCAGAGTAGAAGGGGACGGCAGGAGTGATGGCAGCCTCCTCCTGACCCCTGCACCATAGCTTTAGTGATGGCCTTTCTCACCTCGGTGGCAGAGGTTCCCTCTAAGAGGCCAGTTTGGATCTGGGAGTGATATATCCCTGAAGGCCCGGCAAAGGGACGGCTCCTCACCCATTCTAACATATTGTGTAGGGTAGACAAAGCCTGCTTCGAGATAGGTGACATCCCAGACAGAATAACCAAGTGCTTTGGCCACACTGCCAACAAGGAAGGAGGCGTGTGGGGACCCGGAGCACAGCAGTGATCCTCTCCTGTGGGATGGGCCACAGACTCAGAATGACTTTGGTTTTACCCACATCTTACGTAAAGTTCCCGAACGTTGAAATTCTGAAGATGTCATGATATTGCCTAGCCTACTGGGAACCAAGCTCCACATAGAAAGAGGAAGCTGGGGGGATGGGTGTCTGGTGAAGAGCACTTGACTTGGAGTCATGGGCCCTTCAAGCCCTGCTTATACTATTTACTAGCTGTGTGGCTCTGGCCAATGTGGTTGGCATGCTCCCTTACCAGTTGACCGTGGGCACTGATACTTAACACATGGTGAATGAAATATAGAAAAAAAGTAGACTAACATCTTATGATGGATTATATAGAATTTGGGGGTATTGGAAGAAAAGAGGACAGAAAGGTGTTATGGTTACAGAGGGAAGAGGCCCAGGCTTTCTCCAAAATCTTGCTTTTTTCATGGTAATTACTCTAGACCTGACATCGGCCTGCCCACACAGCTACCGGAATACCCTCCCAGAATTAGCCAGTGCTGTGTCTCCCCCTGGGGCCCAGCCCATGCTCTACCAGAGAGAGGAGGCCTGTTCCTTGGAGCAGCTGCTGTGGGTGCAGTCTCCTGGAGCACCATGTGGTATGGCCCCAGGGTGGAGCGTGTGCTTTCTGTCTTTGTTTTTGTCAATGGATGCCATCCCCATCCCTGTTAATTTTAAGCCAACTTTACAAGTTGAGAGAGCTGCCGGTGCCTCGGGACATGCAGGTCCCTCCCTCATCCCAAAATTCCTTGATTTCCCAAGGATGGCGCTGTGCCTCCTAAAAGCTTATACTTAGGCATGAGCCTCCCATTAAAGAAGGAAGAAATGGAGATCAAAATCTAGCCACACTCAGGAGCCCCAGAGCAAACAAGGAGAGGGTGGGAGAGAGCCATCAGATACAGAGAACCCCAAGCCCTCTCACTTTAAAAGGCATTCAAGGGCACTGACTGGCCAGGGTCAGAGCTGGTGGGGGGAGGGAGGGGTTTGAGAGAAGTGTTGACCTGCCCTGCCTCCTAAAAGCCTGGCTGGCTCGTGCTTCCGCAGACACCACTGCTGAATCCAATCGTCCATGTGATGCTGACCAGATCCCACTGCTGTGACACCATCCTCTGGCTCCTGTGCCATCCTCCCTGGCAGCTGCCCCATGTACTTTTACTGAAGAGACCCCACAGTGCCCAGCGGGTGTGGTTCAGTGGTTGAGCACTCACCTATGAACCAGAAGGTCACGGTCATATACCCTGACAGGGCTGTGGTCAGGGCATATGACCCAATAGGGGGCATTCAGGAGACAGCCTATCTATGATTCTCTCTCATCATTGATGATATATATCAACAGTTCCACAGTTCTAGCTGCCCCTCATCACCCCTGGGGCCACACCGTCTCTGTGCTGTTCTCATTCCCACTCTTATTCAGGTGTCCATCCCCTACTGGATGGCTTAAAGCCCCAGAGGACAGAGAGGGTGGCAGAGGAGAGCTGAGGCCCCAGTGGAGGCAAAGGATTGGCTAAATTCTGGGTGGGGTGTGACATATCTGAGTGTTTGCAGGAGTTGGCCTTGGGCCATCTTCAGCCACCCACCCCAAGAGCTTCCATCTCTCATTTCCTGCTCTCCTCACCTTCTCCCACAAATATATTCAGTTCTCTACAGCCTCATAAGATCCCTTTTCCCTGCTGCACACCTTAAGCTGTGGTCCTATTTCTCTCCTGGTCCAGAAGTCCCTGAAGAATAACCTCCCCTTGCCTGTCTTTGTTTACTCACAGTCTACTCACAATGCACTCATTCCTGAAGGTTTGAT